AGGGAGTGTCTGAACCTCAGAGAAAGCCTGGACGCTTTCTAAAAGACTTCCACCTCATTCAATCAGGCCTTCCAGTATAATTCCGCTATTGATGATCTGCAAACCTTATTAATTATAGGTCAGAATTCGAGTCCAAATTTCAGTCGTCCAACAAGCTATTATAGCCATCTCCAGATCCATGAGCTAACGTTAAATCCAGACTGTCTAGTAAGTGTACTGTGCCAATCAATTGGCTCATTTAGTATTAAATCCCATCCTTCTTAGTGTGACAACCTTGGAATCCATTCCGGAACATGCTCCCTGGCTTATTCTGATACACATTTGTCAAGTTGGATTTATTTTTCTGTTTGAGGTATATTCTCCTGCCTTATGTGGTATATCTTTTCCCTTGGATTTTGCATTAGTTGTGAGTCTAGAGACAATAGGTGATTGTGGTGGGTCTTGAAAATGAGCAGCCCCTCCAAGGCTTCTGTGCTAAGTGAGATTATCACAGAAATGTCAGGCAGAAGGGCAAGCAAAGGGGAAGCTGCGTACTTCTCTGGTAAGGGAGGCTCAGAGTGTTGTGGAGGTTCAAGATTGTGAGTTTCGGGGCCAGCCTGGTGGTGTAGCAGTTAAGTTCGCGCAGTCTGCTTCAGCAGCCTACGATTTGCGGGTGCAGATCCTGGGTGCAGACCCAGGCGTGGACCTACCTATTGCTTGTCAAGCCATGATGTGATGGCCTCCCATATAAAGTAGAGGAAGATGGGCATGGATGTTAGCCCAGGGCCAATCTTCCTCAGCAAAATGAGGAGGATTGGCAACAGATGTTAGCTCAGGGCTGATCTTCCTCACACACACACACAAAAAACATTGTGAGTTTCATCTGGGTCCAACTAGATGTTCCCGTTTCAAGTTTTCTCTGTCATTCTTGCCTGATCAATACCCTTAGTTTCACATGAACAATTATGTAAGACTGAATGTAACTATGGTCAAACAATTAAATTTTGTGTTTGATATTCAGCAGTGTCTTCTCCCTGTGACCACAGATTGTGAGTTTTTGAGAGCTGTCATGGAATCTCTCTCGTCCCAGACTTTCAAGATTTTATTTATTTATTTTCCCCCCAAAGCCCCAGTAGATAGTTGTATGTCATAGCTGCACATCCTTCTAGTTGCTGTATGTGGGACGTGGCCTCAGCATGGCTGGAGAAGTGGTGCGTCGGTGCGCACCCAGGATCCGAACCCGGGCTGCCAGCATCGGAGTGCACGCACTTAACCGCTAAGCCACTGGGCCGGCCCACGTCCCAGACTTTGACTTGAGATCTAAGATAGCAGATCTGAGCTTGCCATTTTCTGGGCAACTACATTCCGAAGAATCCATCCCTCATCACAGTCACTATAATCATTATTGCTGTAATTGGTAAGTGTAGAATTGGCTTGTCTTCCCAAAGCAAGTGCTTCAGTTGACAGCAACCATAGGTACACCTTGACCATTTTGACTCTGTGAGTGTCCTTCCCATTGGCAAGGAGCTCAGCTCTTTATTGAAGTTTATAGACTTGACTAAACTGTCCCTAAATTTCATCATTACTCCTTTGTCTCTAGGGATCACTGTTCTTTTCAATTCTGTATAATTTTACATGAAATGAGGAGATAGAAATCATACTTTGATTTAAACAGGAGAAGTGTAATATGAAAGTGTAAAGAGAATTATTATTTTTTTTTCTATTTTGTGAGGAAGATCAGCCCTGAGCTAACATCTGTGATAATCCTCCTCTTTTTGCTGAGGAAGACCGGCTCTGAGCTAACATCTATTGCCAATCCTCCTCCTTTTTTTCCCCAAAGCCCCAGTAGATAGTTGTATGTTGTAGTTGCACATCCTTCTAGTTGCTGTATGTGGGATGCGGCCTCAGCATGGCTGGAGAAGCGGTGCGTGTGTGCACGCCGGGATCCGAACCCCAGGCCGCCAGTAGCAGAGCGCGTGCACTTAACCGCTAAGCCATGGGGCCGGCCCTAAAGAGAATTCTAATTGATATTCTAGATCTGATGGAGAGTACCAAAGGAGGGCCAAACTTGTAGGGCAGCCCTCTCCCAAAGACTTGACTTCAGACCTTGTTGGATAAGGTGTCATGGCAGTCCATTGGGTGGTGAAGAAGTTCACTAGGTTGCCAGGGCATGAGCTAGTCAACAGTTGTTGGACAATCAGGAAGCAACCCTCTGGAATGCAGACAATCCATGACTGGTCAGTAGATGTAGAGTGAATAGGGCTGGCAGTACATGTACAAGACCAAGAGCAGTAAGTATCCATATAAGGAGGCCATGGGAATCAACTGAGTGGTGTGCAGATATCCTTAGGCTGGTGGATGAGAGCTCGCAATGACAGTGTTCCTCCCACTTTTATATTTCTAAGGTACTTAAATACATTTCTGAAAACTGAGATGTATATTGTGTTATGAACAGCTATTTAGTTATAATCTAGGTACACTCGAAGAGTGGTGTGAAGGATCTTGATTATCTGTCAGTCACCAATCACTGGGTGCCTTCAGTGAGACAAGCTCTATGCCACTCCCTGTAATGCAAGCACTGGCATCCAAAGCAGACATAATGCTACTATGATATGTAAAAAGAAAAAGGAAAAAAAAAACACCTTTCTAAAAGAAAGCTGATCTTAATGTCAGACAACATTGTCAAAAAGCATTACTATAGGTACAGAGGTCACTATGATAAAAGATTCTATTTCTCCAGAAATATAAAAATTCTAATGTGTATCCAGTCACTAATATTGTTGCAAATATATTAAGCATTGCTTTACAGAAGTAGAATAAATAGACAAGTGCACAATTCTAGCGGGAGATTTTAATATTTCACTCATATTGTTTCACTAAACAATAGAGGAAAGTCAATTAGGATATACATTTTAATGTGATGTGTAAACTGTCCAATATACTTACATAGAATATTGTATCTAAAACTGATTGAACTCAGAAAGTGGTTGTCTGGGATCAGTGAGTAAGGAATGGACTGAAAGAGGCAAGAAAGTCTCTAAGGAGATAAATATGTTCTGTATTTTGTTTAGACTGCTTATAATACGAGTATATGAAATTGTCAAATCTCATCTACTATATACTTAAGATCTCTGAATTTGATTGTATATTAATGATATATCTCAATTACAAAATAAACAGAAAAGTAAAACATTCTATGCAGACCCCACCTGACTAAACACATTCATGGGCCTGTTCAGCCCAAGGACCCTTTGAGATACATGGTAGTAAGTACAGTTATACTGTGAGTCTAGATGCAGTTTTTGTGACCATATATGTTTCCGGGGTTTAGTTATCTGAACTGTAGAATAAGGACTGTGGGGTTGTGAGGGTGACAGGTTCATAAGTAATGAACTGTGGAACTTTTAGTGGTCTTCATTGTTAAAATACCATTTTGTAGATGAGAACTACAGTTGTCATTTGATGGCAGTGGTGTGGATTTTCTTCAGTGTGCAGGAATTTCAACCTAGAGTGGAATGATTTTTAGGCAGGCAAATGTGTGAATTATGGTCATTTTTGGGTCCTCATGCCTACTTTCTTTCCTCCTAGGTCTCCTTTTTAAAGACCCTTTATGCCTTCCTGATGAAAAGATAGAGGCAGAAAGGATGGCAGCTGACTGTTGGACAGATTTTTCTCAGGTAAGAAGAAAGTGTATTCTACAAAATGACATACCACATCCATGAGACAGACAGATTTACTTCCAAGATAGTTCTGTCATTAGAGCTTCTTAAAGAAGTAAAGCCACTCAAGGATGGGGTTCGTGTTGAATTTCCTCACAAAGTGGAGCCTCATGTTAGGGGTGGATTACCTTAAATCTGGGTATTTCAGTTATTACTACCTAATAGTGACTCTGATGATGGTGTGGTTGCATAATTTTAATGCTGCTAGGTGTGCTTACAGATGGTAAGGAAGATGAGAGCGTGCATTTCTGACAAGAACTTGTTTATTCATCAGCATTTACAAATGTCTGCGGTTTTTTCAGGAGTGTCCTGCAAGAGGGAAATAGGATGAGAAGAGCTTTTAGTCTAGTTGTGGTGAGATAAGTTCATGTGTTACAGGTTCCTTTAAAGCCATAACTGGAGGATATGAACTGTGAGTGTACATAGAAGAGTACCTAGGACCATTGCACCATGGGGGAGATGAGGAGAGACCTTGAAACCCTCCATTGCCATCTGGTCTCCCATCTTCATTCTGCAGTGAGCATTGGTGGAGATGTTACTTTACTGAAGCCAACTTGTATGTGATGGTTTAGGATTCCATCATCTTTGACGATGTGGCTGTGGACTTCACCCTGGAGGAGTGGACTTCACTGGACCTAACTCAGAGAAACGTATACAGAGATGTGATGCTAGAGAACTAGTAGAACCTGACCACAGTAGGTAAGGCTGCCATTGTTGCTGTAGCATCTTATGGAATTGGTAAATATTATGTACTTAACATGGTCTGGGATGACTGATGTCAAATCTGAACATAATGGGAAATAACAGGCACATAGTCTGTGCACTAATGAGTTTTAATTCAGTGTGGTTGCTATAAAAATGTGGTTCTAGGACTAACAGCATCACCATCACTCTGTTAGCAATGTGCATTCTCAGACTCCACTTTGACATACTTAATGAAACTCTGGCACTGGGACCCAGTCATCTGTGTTTTAAGAAACAGTGGACATGATTCTGATGGATAGCAGAGTCTGACAACCACTGATGTAGTGGTTGGTCCATGAGTATGAAAAATCTCTTTTTGCACTTTATTTCATTTTTCAATGAAAGTCTTAATGCTTTGTAAATGTGTATGTATACATCTGAATGTGGTTGTGGAGGCAGGAGATAAACAGTCTCTTTGGGGCATGGAAGGGGGATGTTTGCATTTTTATCTCATTTGAAATTAACTGCATTCATTAGACATATAGGACCTGACTCGTGAAAGTGTTTGTCATTTTTTACGAGAGGCTTGTTCATTAATATGTCTCTCCTCATGGACAGGGTATCAATTTTGTTCCAACGCAATCTGATCTCTTGGTTGGAACAAGAGGAAGAGTTGAGGACAGTGGAGAGAAGAGTCTTCCAAGGTGAGTGATTGTGAAGAACTTCTCTGGTCAATGAAAATTTCACTATGGTTGGAATTATAATGAGGAAACTTGAACATGTGCTTTCTCTGGAAGGCTGAGGACATTGGTCTCAGATGCTTTGGGATGTCTTCAACTTCAAATTCTTACTGTACATTTACTCAGAATTTCCTATGATCTCACAAAATGACCTGGCTTTTTTTTTAAGTTTATTATGTTGATGTATGCTCTTAGTCCAGATCTTGCTTAGTTTTGCTTCCTGATAATATACTCTTTTCTCATCATGTTTAATTTTCAGAGAATTGCTTTTTCATCAACTACTCAATTTTGCCTCCACATCCTTATCATTGTTAAATTGTTGACCTAGTGAAGTCACTCTAATCTAGCATGCTTTTTCTCTTTGACCATGTTTAATTTGTAAATAATACAAATGAGCCTTCTTGTTTTTAATTCCTTTAACCTACCATTTCTTTTTGCAAATTTTACATGTGTTATTCTCTTTTACTTTAGAATCAGAAATGCATCTTAAAACCAAAGACTCAGCAGTTCCTCCACAGGATATTTTAGGGGAAAAAACTTCCAATAGGATAGAAACGGTAAGATCAGTAAGGTTGAACAGAGATATTTCTTATTTCCCATATTCAGAAAATATTGGAATTTCATTTGATAGAAGGTCAGCACAAGTGATAAATGTTTGAGATAAGTGGCCTTCACCAAAGAGAGAGCAATTTCTCTGGTGAGATATTGTGACTATGATGAATTTGGGGAAAATCTAACTTGAAAGTTATTGGTTCACAATTCTCACAAGTACTCATTCCCACGTACATAACCTAGGCATTGAGTTTTCTTTAACAATCCCATGAAACTGTTTTAAGAATTTTTTAAAATCAGAGTAGATCACACATCATTCTGCCAGAAGGATTCCATCATTCAACTTAAAAGAAATCAATAGGGTGGGAAGTTGTATGAATGTAATGGAAATCATAAAAATGGAGTCAGCATTGTAATGTGGTTTCTATTTTGAGATGGATGAGATCGATTAATGTTTCTGAGAAATTGTTTAATCCTCATTCATCAACAGGAAAGAAGCCACAATGGATGGGAACTCTGTGAGTGTAAGGAATGTGGTAAAGACTTCAGTGAACAATTACGCCTTAAGATGCACAGGAGAACTCACTATGGAGGAAACACTTATGAGGATAATCAGTGTGGGAAAAGCTTCCTTATTCTGCACAAGAAATCCTCTACTAGAGAGGAAATTTCTGTGTTTAATCAATGGAGAAAAGCCATTGGCCTGACTCCAAATATTGTGTCAGGGAAACTAGCATGCATGAGAAAGCCTTTGAATGCAGTGACAGTGGGTAAGCCTTTGTTAATCAGTCTTACTTTCAGGCACAAATGAGAAGTCACTGTAGAGAAAAACTATGAAGGGAAGGAATGTGGGACAGCTTTTATTCACCCTACAAGGCTTGGTGTACATGTACAAACTCACTGCTACGAAATAGTACAAATGTAAGGAATGTGGAAAAATTTTTTGGTATTCTGCACGCTTCAAAGTTTCCATGGGAATCCACACTGGAGGGAAACACTGTAAATGTAAGGAAAGTGGGAAAGCCTCCATTAGTTCTTCTTACCTTGCTAAAGATAGAAAATCTCAGACAGGAGAGAGGCCCTTTGTATGTAACAAATGCAGAAAGTCTTTTAAACATTCCTCATCCCTTAATATTCACATTGGAATTCATGCTGGAATAAAACCCTATGAATGTAAGAAATGTGGGAAAGCCTACACTGCATTCTCAAGCCTTACTAATCATATAAAAACTGATAATGGAGAGAATCCTTTTCAGTGTAATACGTGTGGGAAAACATTTACCAGTTCTTGCTTGATCATTCACATGCGTACTCACACTGGAGAGAAATCCTGTGAGTTTAAGAAATGTGGGAAAGCCTTCATTTCTTCATCAATTCTGAGTGAACATGTACGAATTCATACTGGAGAGAAACCCTATGAATGCAACGACTGTGGGAAAGGCTTCATTAGGAGTTCAGGCTTAACTAGACATAAACAAATTCACACTGGAGAGAGAACTTATGAATACAACAAATGTACAAAATCCTTCTTTAGGAATTCAGGCTTAACTAAACATAAATGAATTCACACTGCAGAGAAACCCTAGAAATGCAGGAAATATGGGAAAGGCTTCATTTGGCATTCAGACTTAATTACACATAAAAGAATTCACACTGGAGAGAAACCCTATGTATGCAATGAATGTGGGAAAGCTTTCAGTCGGCATTCAGGCTGAACTAGACAGAAACAAATTCACACTGGAGAGAAATGCTAGGAATGTATGGAATGTGGGATAGCATTCAGTGTTTCCTCAAGCCTAACGGCACATGCAAGTATTCACACTGGATAGAAACCCCATAAAGGTAAGCAGTGCAGGAAGTCCTATAGTTTTTTGACATGCCTAAGGAGACATGTACGTATTCATACTAGAGAGAAAACTTTGAATGTGAAGTGGAAAATTCTTTATTACTTTCTCACGTCTAAATGGACATTCGAGAATTCACAGTGGAGAGCAGCCATTTGAGTGCAAGATACGTGGAAAAGCATGTTGGTATTCGTCAACATTTTGTATCCATATGCAAACTCACACTGAAGAGAAACTTATGAATGTGAGCAGTGTGGGAAAGCCTTCACTATTTCCTCAGGACTTATTCAACATATAAGAACTCACACTGGAGAGAAACCCTGTCAGTGTAAGGAATGCAGGAAAGACTTCACTTGCTCCTCAGTCCTTAGTAAACATGTATGAACTGACAATAGAGAGAAGCCCTGTGAATGTGAGGAATATGGAAAAGCCTACAAGTGTTCATGTTTGTTTCAAATACATAAAAGAACTCACACTAATAGATGCCTCAGGAATTTAAGCAATGTGGAAAGCAGTCAGAATCTGCTACAACCCAGCATGTAAGAATTCACAGTGAAGCCTTTCAATGTAAGAAATATGTATAGCTCCAGCTTATAGGGTAGTTCTGTAGATCTGTTTTGCACATGTGCTATTCTACCCTAACTATTGTTAAGAATCATATGGCTTTCACTCCTCTAATAGCAATTTTAAGCCAGTGTAGTTTCTACAACTTCCACGTTGCAGCCTAGCCAAAAGTGGGACTACCAGATTTAGATTTAGCTGGATTGTCTTGTTATTGACCTGGTCTAAAATTGTGAAGATAGTGACCACTTGAATCAGTTCCCTACTCACAGAGTCCATGTACAATGCCACATGCCAGGCAAGGTGGGGGACTGGATGTCTCTGTAACTTCTCTAAAAATTCTTTCTTCTCTCTCACACCTGATCCTTTTGGATAAAGCATCAGAGTGCAAGCAACGGAAGAGTTTAGAAAAGGTGAGATTTTGCCTACTCTTGGACACACCCTGATTTCATATTGCTTTGGGAGAATAACCACCTTAGCACCTTGGTAGGACGTCTGACCTTAGGCTGTGCAGGAAGAAGGGGAGAACGTTCTCTTTCACCCGTGTATCCAGCACCATGGCCTGGCGTAACAATCTTGTCATCTTTGCAGCTCAGGCAACAGCTGCTGCTGGTGGTATGACCTGCTTTCATGTTTGTTATTCCATCTATGTGCTGTGAAAACAGACTCATGCAGATATGTCTGGTCCTGATAATCTGTGCTTGATACCATCATTGGAAGGTCCCAAATGTGAACTTTCAGTGCGGACACACAAGCACCACCTCATTATAGTCTCAGTGGTACAAATTCATAGTGTTCTGATGCTTGAGCAGCCTTGGGTTACATCATGTATGGCCACCAAGGCTGCTGCTGCATGGTGACCCTTTCTTTAGGCTTAATCAAAGCATTGTAGTGGTAGTCCAAATCAAGCTTAACAAGTCCTGAACAGGAAATACCTGTGCACCTTTTCTCTTGCTCCCACTCTTTTTGAATATGTGAAGAATGCAAGATCCTGACCACTCTTCCCCTGGGCCATTTCTTACATTGTGTTTGCAGTGAGGAACCATAAGAAATGAGGTTATCTCACCAACTGAGATGAAGAGCAGCCTTGCTCACTACTTGAAATAAACCATCTTCCACAATCTCAGTGTTCCTCTTCTGTAACACAACCCAGTGTGCAGACATCCATCGGGGCCTTTTGTGTCACCTCTGAGACTTGGGGACTAAAGTCACCAGTACAAAATTTGTCATGCTCATGCTGCTGACTTTTCCATGAATATAGTAAATATTTTGTCTCTGACTTCGGTATCTTGCGTCATCTGCCAACATTCACGAAATAGGGACATGAAAATTGAATACCTTGGAAGCAGGAAATAAACTACAGGTTCACCAGTTTTGGTGATGAAAATGGCATGTTGATAGACACATGCCTTTCTGGAAGAGGAGGAATGAGGGTGGCCTGGCTGGGTGTGAAGACCCAATAGTATGTGCAATCCAGTCATGAAATCTCTTCCCCCAGAGGTTTCCTCAAGATATTTGTGAGAGGAGGGGAATTAGGATCCTCACTGTCCTACTTGTTAATGAGGCTCATCAGTAAGTATGTCAGTAGTTATATCAGCATGGTTTTCCTTAATTTCTCAATCTTACTTTAGCCTTAATTTTTAAACGCCTCCTTTTATACATAATGCAGAGTTTTGAAATGTCTAAGTGTTTGAAATACAGTCTTTAAAATCTTTTTTCTTTAAACTTGGAACATTTAGTCTGTAATGTGATTACTAATAAATTTGGATTTATGTCTAGCATCTAATTTTTTTCAGAATGTAGCTCATGTTTGTACTCTCTCTGCTCTTATTTTTCATCATATAAATGATTTTACTGTTGATGATTGAAATTTATATAATCCACTTATTTTAGTTGCTAACCTAAAATCCTTTAACATCTTTCATTTAACTCTGAATTAACACCTTTTCTCTCCTACGAAGTGTACTGGGACTTATAATTGCACTAATGGCCATTATTCAAGTTCAGAGCAGCACAGTGGCAAACAGACCTAGAAATAATTCCATAGTCAGACGGGCCTCTAAACAGGTCCAGGTGCAAGATGGACTGGTCCCCCTGAGAAGTGTGAGAGCTTCCCCTTCTTGTGAGAGGATATGTGTGACAGGGACGTGTATGCCACTGTGGAGAAAGGCTGGGTATCATCAAAGACTGAACTGAAAGCACTATCTTATGATAAAAATTGGCCACTTCCTTAAGAGGACACAGGATTGGAGATTGCATGATTGCCCATGTGTGGACAAAACTTAGTAGTGATGACTGGGACAGGTGTGCTTAATCTTCAGCTTTGCCTGGAACATTCAGGCTTCACATTAGCCATTTCTACCCCAGAAGTCTTTTGTCCTGATGGTCTCCCTCAGCCTCCAGTTATCTATTGGGTTTTCCACTATTGTTGTTTCCTGGTCTTTTGGGGACCACTGCAGTCACTGCAGCTCTGGCCTTTTCTTCACTCATAGCCCAGACTTGCCCTCATCACAACTTTTCTCCCTGTGACTCCTCTGCCACTTTTCACGTAAAGGTTGGCCTGTAGACCCCTGGGGAGAGGGACATTACAAAAGGAATTACTGTCTCTGAGCAGCGTGTCTTTCCACAGGTTATAAGTGCAGAAAGGCATCCCTTTAGTACAAGAGCCTTGAGATAAGGCCAGATGTTCTTCATTAGAAGTGAGGAGTAGAGCAGGGTCAGCTTGCATTTGTATTGAATTAGAGAAGGAAAGAAGATATTTCATTTCACTCTTTGAGCTTCTGAACCAGTTAACTTTTGATCCATTGGAACATACCTCCTTTCACCATTACCCCTTAAGCGAAAATGGAATTGCTTTCATTCCATGAAAATGGAATCAGTTTCATCATTCTTTCCTCATGGTGATGGGAGAGGTTGGGGCTTTACTTCTGCCTCAATATAGCACATCTTGTCTCTAGAGCAAAGCCCAGAGTTGATCAAGAAACGTGTTTCGATGCCCAGTCCCTTCACCAGTGTTGGGCTGTGTTCATCCCGTGGTGACTCGGCGTTTTGGGTCCTTGGGCTACTCTGGAGAGCCATGTGACAGTGCCTAGAGCATGCAGATTGGAGGTGAAATCTCTGCAATGGTGGCCCCTGGAAGTATTGGGTTACCCTCAGCGAGGCAGAGAGGACACTTTGTTGTGAGGGCTTCTTGAAGCACTTCTCAGTGGCTGATTTGTGTCAAAGCCCACCTTCCCTCAGCAACTACTGGCCTTCAGTGATGTCTATATGTAACTCTCCCTGTGTGAGCCACCTGCCAGAGCCTGCCTGGTAAATAACAGGCCATTCCTGTTTTTCAGTGGCTGTGGCAGCTGTACTCGTGATGCTGTTAACCTCCCTGTGCAGGGAAGCTACAGGAGTGACACAACATGTGGGCATTTAAATGTACTGTTTTGTGTTAGGTCACTGTGAAATGCTAGCAGAGCAGTTTGGTTTTTCATTCTCGTTTGTTAACACACTATGTTCCTCGGTTCAGGATCTTAATTTAGTAGTAATTTTAAAATTGACCTTTTTAAAAGATGGCTATTTATTTGCAAGTTGATTTATAATGTGTTTTGATTAAATACTTCAGATGTATAAATTTAATATTACTAACAAAATCTCAAGCACTTTAACGTCCTTCTGTCTATGGGTGGGTATTTTATTGAACTTGGTTTCTATGAGAGGCACTGCCAGAGAAGCTGGCTTTGAATTTCTTTTTCCCCAGATCTGTGATTTTGGAAGGCTCCATTGAATACTAATAATAATCCTCCATTCACAATGTATTATTGTGATAAATTACATATCACATAAAATCTACTCATTTAATCTTTTTAAGTGTGCAGCTCAGTGGCATTAAATACACTCACATTGTTGTCCAGCCATCAGCATCATCAATCTCTAGAACTTTTTCATTATCCCAAATTGATACTTGGTACTCACTAAACAATAACTCGCCATAGCCTTTGTCTCTAGTCCCTGGAAACCACCATTCTACTTTCTGTCTCTGTATCTATGAAGAAGACTCCTCTAGTTACCTTGTAAAAGTGGAATCATACCCTATTTGGCTTTTGTGTCTGGCTGATTTCACATCACAGAATGTCTTCAAAGTTCATCCACGTTGTAGGATGTGACAGAATTGTAGTTTTTAAGAACAAAATATTTCCTTGTATGTATATGCATTTTGTGTATCCATTCATCCATTGATAGACACTTGGGTGGCTTCCACATTTTGGCTACTGTGAATAATGCAGCTATGAATATGGGTGTGCATGTGTCTTTTTGAATTTCCTGCATTTGATTCTTTTGGGTGAAACGGGAAACTGCTAGATATTATGGTAATTCTATGTTTACCTCATTCACTTTTAAATTTTACTTTATCTGAACAGGTGTGTTTCATACAGATTTTGGGAAAATG